AATTCCAGGAGATGTGCTACCAGACTGTGGAGAGCTGGGTGGGGCCGGCCAGCCTATGCTCCAGGGAGGTGGGGAAAGGGGAGAAAAGAAGCACTATGTGGGTACGATTTCTGTGAAATGACTCTGGCCTTTTAATTTTTCACTGCGGAGACTCTCCGGAACATAGGGTTTAAAATCTCTACCTTGGGGGCAGGTCCAATGACATGGTGACAGCATTCTGGGGGCTGCCAATCTTTTAATGAAATCCTTTGGGGCCCAAAATTAGAATCCATGCTTCATGGGCCCAGCTTTAGGAGAAGCAAAAGTGTGTCTCCAGGACTATAACTGAGCATATGAGGTAACTCAAGTGTTGGCCTCTGAAAACAGACACACTTAAGGAGTCTAAGATCAGGACTGGCCAATGACATCTTGATAAGAATGGAAGGAGATTTCTCTGTGTTGTTATCTTTAAATCCAAAATACGTCTAAATTTTACATAGTTTTTCATAGGATGTTCATTGGTTCTAATGGGCCAATAAGCAGTGAACTAAGAGGGAGACTCTCTTCTGTTTAGCTGTGGGGTGTCTTAGAGCCTTTAGTTAAACTTGCATGCATTGTGACTCCAAGATAGTAAGCACCATTTTCGAGGTCTGTTTGACCATAACCATTTCTTTCTTTTTTTTAAAACAGAACATCTTATGAGACTCCAGAAATACTGAGATAGATAAGAGTTTGTCCTACAGGTGTCTCAGGCAAATGGTAGATTGTCCAAGGTTTTACCTACCTGGGAGAGAAAACCAACTGGAATCACAGGAGAAACTGCCAATTCTAAAATACAAGAATGGCGCTCCTGACTCCCAGGTAAGGACTTCCTTGTTACCCTCTCTCCCTGCCTCTTGGTACCTGTGCTCTAGGAGGGTACATGGCTTGGCGGCTACCACGCAGGACTCCGGCTCAGGTTATCCTTAAACCTTCTGCTTAAAATGCCTCCCCCCTCACCTCATCTCCCTGGGCCTGAATCCTACTTGCCCCTCATCCAAGGTCCAGTTCAAAGTCAACCTTCTCCACGAGGCTGGTCTGAATTCTCCCTAATCTTTCCCTCGTCTGAACTTCCACAGGTGGTTGCCCAGTGGCTTGAATATGACATTTAGTTTAACATAGGGGCTTATATTGGGGCTTTCCTGGTGGCTCAGATGGTAAAGAACCCACCTGTAATGCAGAAGTCGCAGGAGACACAAGTTCAATCCCTGGGTTGATAAGATACCCTGGAGGAGGGCATGGCAAACCACTCTACTGTTCTTGCCAGGAGAATCCCCTGGACAGAGGAGCCTGGCGGGCTACAGTCCATGGGGTCACGGAGAGTCAGACACGACAGAGCAACTAACACTTTCATACTTACATAATAGTCAGTCGGGCTGGGACTTAACCCCAGTCTCCCCTGATGTGCTAGTCCTATAACTCTGGATGAGCCTTCTCAGCTCTGTCTCAGTTTCTGCATCTGTATAATGGGGACAGTAAACAGCCTGTATCTCAGGCTGGTTGGGAGGAACACACGAGACAGTGAAGAAGACAGGCTGGGAAGAAGACCTCCCACATTAGTGGCTCTGACCATTGTCATCACCATCATGTGAGACCACAATGTGTATCTGTTGAGGAATAAATGTGTGCTGTCACCAGAGGAGGCTGAGAAAGGGCTGCTAAGGAAGCGGATCTCTAAGTAGTTGGTTAAAAAAACAAAAAGAATGATGGACAATTAGCAGAGTGGTAGCTGGAGGTAAATAGACCTTTAAAACACTTAAACAGCCTAACTGTGTCACCTCTAATCTTGCTTATATGGTCAATTTGCTTAACCAACTCTTCCTCCGTCACTTGCCCTGTCTTAATGATCACAATTCTGAACAAGGTGGGTCCAAATGAAACAGCTGTTACTGTAACAATGACAGGAGGAGGAGAATATCACATTCAGAGATTCTCCTCCTCAATTCTCTAGCCTACCTATGTCTTTTTAAAATTTTTAATAGAAGTGGAATTTAGAAAGCTGAAGATGAGGTAATTCTTAGGTTTTGGGTCTAGGAGCCCACTGTCAGAATGTCACTTTTCTCAGAAGCCAAGGTCCCCGGCAAGAGACCCCTGAAAACAGTGGTGCACGGCACCCACATCTGCAGGGAAAGCATGCAGAGGCCAGACGTGCAGCCCGGGCCGGGTGGGCCCTGCCTGCTGAGCGGACGGTGGGAGCAGAGTGGGCGGGGAGGAGAGCTTCCTGGAAGTTGGTGTCAGTTACTGCGACTTTAATTTCTCTCCTCACATCTCCTCGGCTGCCATCACCCAGAAACTAAGGACCTTTAGTGCATGACAGAATTCGTAACACAAAAACCACCAGGACCCACACTCGACCAGAAGGGAAGGGCAGTGTCATCCACAGCAGCAAGTTGAGCACAAGCAAGCCGGAGCTGTAGGCCCCAGAGCCTCCCGCTGTGCGCTAGGCAGAGGGGGAGAGGTGGGGACGGCTGCAGGTCAGAAGGGGGAGGCAGGCTCTGCACTTCTGGGATCTGTGCAGGCTGGGTTAGAAACGCTCCAGGGGTGTTTCTATGTGGCCCTGTCTTGATGCCATCTCATCATTACTTAAGTATACACACACACATACACATACCTTACACCACCAGAAGTTCCCTTAATCCAGGAGGTTCTAAAATTCGGGCTGAGTTCCTCCTTTCAGACCCTACCTGTTCCCTCCTTGATCCACACAGCACGAAAAAACCTTTGGCCTCACCAAAGGGCTGCCCACTTTAGTCACTGACCCTCCAAGAGCCATGGGCCTTTTCTTCTCACATGCCACCCCCTCCATGGCTGATTACAAACCCCATTACACCTACTTCCTGACGTCAAGTCTATGATTAACAAGGGCTGTGACTGGCAGCTCAGGAATGGTAGATTTCTTCTTTCCATATGTTTTTATCCTTATTTAAACCCATTATAAGTTATGTTCACTTAGGCATTACATCCTCAGTTTGCCAGCTGGAGGTGTAGTCAGGGTGACAGAGCATTATTTTTAGCTGAAAAAGATACTTGCATGAATGGGTGGCTCCCCTTTAGGGGGTGGGCATTTCCTATCAGGAACAATATTGCCTGAAATGTCATTCCAGAGTCTGAGTAGCTTCCTCCTCCCTCTAAGAAGACGGCTTTGCTGGGGCCTGTTTCAGGGGTGGGCACGGGCACTCCCCTTGCCTGTGCTGGGCAGACTGGCCAGCAGGTCTCTGAGCAGTGCTCGGCAGAGCGCTTCTGGAGTCAGAAAGGCACAGGCAAGAGGAGCTCAGGTTCAGGAGTCACACAGCGGGTTCGGTTTTGGCTCCATCATTACCAGATACGTGACCCTGAGCAAACTGGGCCTTCGTTTCCCCATCTATATAATAGGAATAGTACTGCCCTTATGGAGTCTTCGAAAGAATGGATGTAAGTTTACATCAGTACAAAGTACGTGTACAGACGTATAAATAAATAGGCAATAAGAAACAAGACTGCCTGCTTGACCGCTCTCAACCTCCATGGCTGAGCTGTCAGTGACGATGGGCAAGCCGGCCACTGAAAGGAAGGTCCTGTGGGGCGCTGGGTTGGGGCACAGATCCTCAGGGTTTATTTTCATCCCCTCTGTTTCTGCCTATGACTCTTGGCAGGTGTTTACTCTCCTGATGCCTGAATTTTACCCTTTCTACAATGGAGACCATAACGGTCCTTGTGTTTCATCAGGAAGTTGAGAGGATCAAATAAGATAAAGCAGGCACAGTGCTTAGCACTGGTCAGTGCTCAAAGAATGGCAACTGATGATTTTATTGATCTTACTTCCCTGCCAGCTGCCTTAGGAATCCTGGATGCATCCTGTTTACCCACTCTGAGTACTACAGTGCTTGGAAGATAGAGCAGGAGATAGAACTTTTGAGCTTGAGTTTGAAGCCGACCTCTGCCACATACCATTGTCTTCAAGTCAAGCCATTCCCTAACCTCACTAGTCTTTTGCTTTCTCGTCTATAAAATCTGAGTACCGATCCCACAGTCCCACTGTGGGAAAGGAAAGAGGCCGTGCAGCCCAATACCCCAATTCAGTGCCAGCACTTAAGGAGAAGGTAAGAAACGGTAGACCCGTTTTAAAAGGTTCCTTTTCTCTCAATGAATAGAAAGGTCCCCTAAAATCTTGGTGACTCTTATTTTCCAGATTCCATGATGGGGAGGAAATCAAACAATTTTAATATGAACCAGGGTCCTCCAGTGGCACTTTGGGCTTTCTGGTTCCCAGCAGTAGTAAGCTTTGAGTGTTTGGTCTAAGATGTAACCTCAGGGCCCTGACTGGGCTGTCACACCCCCTCCCCAAGATCAGCCCCATACATGTTCATGCTGACATAGGCAACAGGAAGGAAACCTACTTCAGGAGAAGGCCAGTCCTGGGAGAGACCCTGCAGTGGAGAACTTGCTAGAGTCCACAAAAGACTGATCTGATTATGGCGACCACAGGGAATGAGAGAGGAAAGAGAAATGACATTAGTAAGTGGCGACGGTATTTTTCAAGGAAATCTAGGGCCTGAGCAGAACTGCTGGAGTTGGAAGAACTGCTCAAGCGACTCCAGCAGAGGAGGGATATGGGGGGCCTGGGGCCAGGTCCGACAAGGGCGAACACACAGGAACAGAAGAGCTGAGGGCAGACAGGGGCAGGCAAGCCCAAGGTCGAGCCCTGGGAAGCAGCGCGTCTGCTGCAGGCCCTGGGAAGGTGAGTCAGGGCGCATCTGGTTGGCCCCGGCTGGGGCCTGGGGCTTACCTTGCAGACTGTTCCCGTTGGTGCTGGTGCAGGTGGGAGGTGGGGAGGTCTGGGGTCTGACGACAGGTGCAAAAGCACTCTTCTGTTTCACGGCTGAGACCATGTTGGCTGGTGAGAAGGAGAAGATGCCAGAGGAGCTGCTGCAATTGGAGGGGAGGCTTGTGGAGGAGGCCATGGTGGGGCTGGATGGCACAACTAAGGGGCAAGAGGAAAAGAAAAATCAGCGCCTCTCCCGGTATCCTGACACACAGCCTCTCAGCTCCCACCCTGACACCCACCCCGCTCAGGCCACCCTTCTAGCAGGAGCCTTCCCTGAACTCTCAGGGTCTTGTCAGCTTTCATCATTTGGTACCTGGCACGTGTTTCCTTTCATTGGTGATCTTTGGTGTGTTTATTGTAGGCCGACTATGTGCCAGGCAGTATGCCAGAGCATCTCAGGCCAGGAGGCAAGAGTGTTCTTACAAAAGGAACAGTGTCACATAATAGCTTCAACAGTAAGTGTGGCCCACTCTGGGGAGTCGGGGAAGGGAAACCAAAGAAGGTTTCGTGGAGGAGGTGTCAAAGGAAGTATTTCAGGTAGGCCTATACTGCCTGAGGTTCTAGCAAAGGGTCTGGGGATACAAGAAGCAGGAGGTGGCCTAACTGGGAGGGTGTGGTCACTAGTGGAAGGAGAGGTATGAGGAAGAAGAGTGAGTTGAAGGCAATGCCAGGGCTCTAGTTTAAGGCACTGATGAATGGATGGCGGGGTGTGTCCGCTCTCTCCCCATGAAGCTACTACAGCTCCCCGAGGTGTACGTGTATGCGGGTCAGTCATGTCTGACTCTTCAGGACCCCGTGGACTGTCGCCTACCAGGCTCCTCTGCCCATGGGGGTTTCCCAGGCAAGAACAGGCCATTTCCTCCTCCAGGGGATCCTCCTGTGGCAGGGACTGAACTGGAATCTTGAGTCTCCTGCATTGGCAGGTGGAGTCTTCACCCCTGAGCCACCTGGGAAGCCCTCTTGAAGGATATATCTCCATGTTCCACAACACAGATAGAGGTAGGTAGGAGGCCAGATGGATAAATAATCCACCACGTGCTTTCTGAGTGACTGATGAGGGACTACAAGTCAAAGTTCCAAATCCTCTCTACCTCCTGCAGAACTGTACAGAGATGCATGTGTGTGAGCTAATAAGCAGCGGGATCGGAGCTTTATGTAAATACTCACAGTCTGGGAGTGGTGGGGACGTGGATTATCAATGACAGGAGATCTCTGGTGACTCAGAGAGAGAGAGAACCTAGCTGCTTGGGGGATATGAAAGAGTGTGAGTGATGCAGGTCCTCTCCACCTGGCCTTTCATCTTTCACTAGTTGCTAGTCATCTCAGGTCACTTTAGGAAATAGATATTGTACCCACGAAAGTCCTCTACACTCAGGACTTAGGGCCATCACACACCCACCTTCCATCTCCTCTGTACCCCAGGGAAAAGTATGAGTTCTGTCGATGATTTTCAGGCACTTAATTCAAATTCTAGGTACTTCCTCCTCACTGTATTATTTTCCACAGTATGTAATAAACATTCTATATTGCTTTGTCACCTGCAGGAATCTTGACATCTTTTCCATCTATGTCAGTAGCCAAGCAAGCTTCAGTTGGGACCTTTTTAAACCTGAGCAAACCGAGCGAGTTGAGACTCAGAAAATAGTCCAGGGACTGGCCCCAGTGAGTGAACTGAAAGGTGAGCCCTGGAACCACACCCCAGTGCAAGGCTCTGTCTACGAGGCTGCCCTGCAAAGCACACGGATCACCAGGGGACAGGCCCCTTCCCAGGAGCACACCACAGTCCAAGTCCCTGAGTAAGTGGCCTCCCCCTCAACCTCCTGGCTTTGGAAACTTAGGGAAGAGCTTATCAAGTCAGTCACAGACAGCAGTTGCCATCAGGGGGAAATGACCTCTTCTAATCAGCCCTCAGCACTACACAACCCAAACGCACTGGATGTTTTATGGAGCAGAACAGGGAGCTGCCATCCTCAGGATTTTCACAAACATTTTCTAAACTGTACTTTTTCTTTTAATGAGGCCAGCATTTTTATACATCTCTTAGGATTTGTAAATGTGAAAATGCGCTCAATAATAACACCCATTTAAATTGCAAAACTCCTGCACTGGAGGTTTGATTTTTAAATATTCGTAGACTTGAAATCCTGCTGGTTCACTGAGGAAGGCAATTAATCTCGTTGGCAAATGCGATCATTATGTGTATTTAGAGGTGGGGAGTTTGAGGGGGGCCTTAACAGAGGAAGGGGTGAAATATAGTCAAGCAGTTCCATTTGTTATAACATTATTAGTTAGCAGCCACCACACCAGAAAGGGTGTTCACCAGTGGAAACGTCTTATTTTATTTTTTATTCTGTTTGGAATTTTTCAACATGAGTGGTTTATGAATAATTAAATATTGTGGAGGCAAAAATTCAAATCAGCTGGGCTTTTTGTTTATTGTTTTATTTGCATTTATGCAGATAAAACCGTCCCATCTGAGAGCCTATTTGAGAATTTAATACTATATTTGTGAGCACTGAGAAAATCAATTAATGGAAATTAAATGTTGGAAGTTTCACAGTCTGACAGATGCAATCTCAGGCTCAGGTCGCTGGGTGTCTGCACAGGCTTAGGAAGACAGAGCAATCCAAGACCCTAAATTGAATTGCTACCATATAGCAATTAGGTTATTGATTTAATTAAGAATGCCACCTTTTAATTTTCAGGTCATGATTGAAACCTTTTCTGATTGAGTAGAAATGAGAACACTGAAATGACAGATTTGTGAGAAACAATCTTTTTATGAATCAAAATCTAATGTGAAACTGGCCCCAAACATTGATGCTTCAGCAGACAGATGTAATATATGCAGATTATTAGAGAGAATTTTAAATGTACAACAAGCTGCTGATTCCAAACAGATCGAGTAGCTATAAAGAAATACAGAGGTTTAGCTCACACTGAGCCTACAAATTCAGCCGAAAGGTAAATGGCACTAAGTATTGCTTTCAGAAGTTAACTTCTTGCAAAGGCCAAGAATGATCTTTCCTCTTTCAACAGCCTAGCACACTCTGCATTTCCACTGTCAGAGAAAGCATCATTTTCAGTATTTTTAGCTGAGTCTCTCATTTTTTAAAAAATCATACCATTCCTTCATTTAACAACACAGTTTCTATCAGCTCACAAAATTCTCAGAGCTTAGAATTATTATACACCAGAAGAGCCACCCACACTGTCCAAGATGAACTTGGTTTTCTATGTAAAAATCCTCAGAGGGCAATTGAGAGACTGTGAAGACACAGCTCATGACATTTTGTATGTAAAGATGCCAGTTCCCTGAGGTTCTTTATACGCAATTGAAACACTGCACCCCCCCCCCAAAAAAAAAATCCTTTAACCTCAGCTTCTTTAAGACAGGGACAAGGCACAAAAGAACAGTTTCTTGTATATGTTTTTTCATCATGCCAAATTTTTGGGAAAAATAAAGTGTGTTTTTTGGTTTGAATGTTTGTTTTTCTTTGTACATATTAAACACAAGGGGAAAAAAATCTAAACATTAAAAGAATAAAGGAGAGGGACTTCCCTGGTGGCCTAGTGGCTAAGACTGTATGCTCCCAATGCAGGGGGCCCATGTTCCATCTCTGGTCAGGGAACTAGATCCTACATGCCACAACTAACACCCAGTGCAGCCAATTAAATAAATATTTTTTTTAAATAAATATCTTTAAAAATAAAAGATTTTAAGGTTTAGATACTCATTACCATGCTAAACTACTAGCACCACTTAACATTATCATTCTATCATTATGATTATTACCGAAATTTACTGACTGCATCTCCCATGGGCTGAGCTTTAGGACAAGCTTATTACATGCATTCTCTTATCCAAGTCTCACCACTGTGTGGGAGGGAGAGTGGCTTCCTTCCCCATTTTACAGATGAGAAAACTGAGGTTTAGAGAGGAGATGAACCTGCTCAGGGCCACCAGTCAGTGACTGGTAGAAGAGTCAGACCCAGCTCCATCTGACTGGAAGGAAGCTTGGGATCTCACAATGACCTCACGTTGCTACTTTGGTTGCAGGCAAGCTCTGCTAGAGAGACAGGGGAGAATGATGAGCAAGGAGGGTAGAGATTCCTGCTGGGACAGTGCTGCCTTGGGTCCCATCACCTGGGTCCACGCCTGGCAGGGCGGGGTCCTCAGAGCAGGCAGACCTGCACAATGAGGCAACACAGCACACTGCCCAGGTTTTGGAGCAGAAAACGTGCAGAAACACAGGACACACATCCTTACTTACTGGCGTAGGGTGAGTTGGCAGCTGAGCCGTTGAGGAAGGTAGGGGAGCCGCCCAAATTGGACATGGCAGCGGTGCCGTATCCATTCATACTCGTGGTGACCGAGTTATAGTTGGTCTGCTGGGGGGTGGTGCTCGGCACATACCCGTGTGGTGACACGCTGCTTGAGTTGCGGGTGAAACCTGAGGGGCAGGGGAGAAAGCAAGGATGAGGGTGGCATTCATGTGGGTGGTGGGCCTGGGGGAAAGGAGGTCTCTGTCTCTTGCCCCCTCAACACATCCTGAAGGGAAGGGGCAGAGTGATTCATGGGTGGGTTGATGGTGCTAGCTCTGTGATTAAAATGGGAAGCGAGCGAAAGACACATTTCTCAGGAGATCATAAATACTTGGCGGGCCCGTGAGAAGTGGCAACGCAGGACCTATAAATTATCATTTTGGAACAGAAATAAATCCCAATCCGAAAGATGTACCCTGGAGGTAACAGGTTCCTACTCCCTGTGTGAGGGTGATAGGCTCTGGCCCCTCCAGAACTTTAATTCCAACCCTCTTTGGGACCTGTCATTCATGGTTTACAGTGAAAAGTCAAATGCAGAGATGGCTAAATGCATGGATCCTTTCTAGCGCCCCCACACCAGATTACCAAACATGATGGCTAGAACCAGAAGTCTACAATAATACCTAATACACACAGACCTAGGAATCTCCCTTTTTATGGGAGGGAAAAAAGAATTTTAAAAAATGAACACTTTTGTGTCAAATAAATGGGGAGGGGTAGCTTGAGGTTGGGAAGGGGCAAGGAAATCAGCGGGAGTTGGGGTGGGGACAAGGGCGGGCTCCTGACCCTGATTGGTGGCCTGCGATGCCTCGGAGACATTCACGGCCAGTTGTCCACTGAAGGAATTCACGCCCATCATTCCTGCATGGACCGAGGTGTTCGTGAGGGCCGGTAGCTGGCTGTGGTTGCGAGGGACACTGTACAGAGCCTCTGCGATGTCAGCCGCTCTCTTCAGAATAATCTCCTGAAAAGGAACAGGAACATCCCATTTAACTGCCCCAGTCACACTCCTGGGAGTACCACATCCCAAGTGTTTACTGTAGGCTGTACTCAGGGCTTTCCATGATTAATTGCACTAACTTCTGCAACCTTTTCAGCAAACCTGTGTGTTCAGTCTCATCATCATCAAGCCCATACCTCAGATGGGCCAACTGAGGCTGAGAGAGGTGAAGACCTCATTTAAGGACACTTACCTCCTTAAGGTGGAGAAGGCAATGGCACCCCACTCCAGTACTCTTGCCTGGAAAATCCCATGGACGGAGGAGCCTAGTGGGCTGCAGTCCATGGGGTCGCCAAGCGTTGGACACGACTGAGCAACTTCACTTTCACTTTTCACTTTCATGCATTGGAGAAGGAAATGGCAACCCACTCCAGTGTTCTTGCCTGGAGAATCCCAGGGANGCCTGGTGGGCTGCCGTCTATGGAGTCGCACAGAGTCGGACACGACTGAAGTGACTTAGCAGCAGCAGCAACCTCCTCAAGAACAGAGCTGGGCTGCATAACTCTGTGTGACTTTGACAGCCCATTAACTCAGGCAATCCTCCATACGGGGACAGCAACCTGCAGCTTCCCTTCCCCACCAGTAACACAGAAAACTCTGGGGTCACTCTCTCACACACACACACATGTGCCCTGAATCCCATCTCCCTGGATGAAGTTAAGGGAAGGTTTACATGACAACCTATGTCCTTAAGTATTAGGGCTGTGTCCCTTGGACACTGACCAATTCAAGTGACACAAGAAAGGAAGGATTATCTCAGACTTGTAGTTTCCTGAGCAAGTTGAATCAGAAACATGGAGTTGCTCTATGAAACAAGCAGACAATGTTCAGGCCTTGTTACATTTTTCAGGAGAAGAAATTAAGCCCCTTGTTTCCTCCTAAATTTTCTCGAAAACCTGAGAGGAATAAAATTGAGCACCAGTAACTCTCTTCTTCAATGATGAAGTATATTCCCACAGGAGATTCCTTTTAAATGAAGTACCTTTTCTCATAAGAAAAATTATTCCCTAGAAAAGGCAATAAAAGATTTACAAAAGAAGAGAGAAGAACTGAATGGCTTTGCAACATGTTAGGCCTGAATGACTTATACTCTGAACTTATGAAAGAGCTTTTATAATTTTCATGCTTTTTCATTCTAACAAGGACTCAGAGCTTCAGCTGAATGTGGAAGGTTCGAGACCCAGCACGCTCACCTGGTTGTTGTGTGGCATCCCATAGAGTGCTTCTACCAGATCTGCAGCCCTTTTGAGTATCACTTCCTGTCAAGGAGAAAAGCAGATACAGTCCTCTGAGTGAAGGCAGGATGTCATTATCTCTTCACATGGTCATGTTCTATTTTCCCTCTCACCATCCTTTGCCAACACACTGCTTTAAAAGCAGTGGGTTTGGGGAACCCCAGAGTGGTGTTAAATCACCAATTTATCCCTGTTCATATACACACTTAATCAAGTCAAAAGGTGAGCATCATTGGTACTGCAAGATAAAATACATCACTCAATAGTCTGCCATAAGCACGATAAAGCACTCATATGTTTATTGCTGAATACAATTGCAAGGTCATTTACTAGATTACTACAATCGATGTCAGTTGGTGCATGTTATGAATCCCTAAGATGTGTTTATTTTGCACTTAATTGCTTATTCCAGGAACCATGACCTTATCAGACAGGTCATTTTCAAGAGATTTCCAATCAGTCTTCAGCTAGTAAGAAGCATGTGGCATCAGACTCCTCTTGTATATCTCCCTTGTGTGGCAGAGTCATGAGATCAGGGGGTGATGTGCTGTTTTGTCAGAGGTTCTTACAAAAGAATTCTCCTGCCCCCAGAAGCTCCCTCTGCACCAATTTTCATGACTGGCAGAGTCTGCTTCTTTTATAGCAATTCTTTGCTATTTCAGAATTGTTTGTCATTTTCCCCAATTGCTCATTCATCCTCCTCCTAGGTGTTATGCTCTGCTGTTCACTCCAGTTGAAGAAAAAATGTCTCCTTTCATTTAGGTGGACTTCCATATTTAGCTAGCATGCGTGTTTCTAGTAATACAGGGCACTCTACAAAAATATGTGTGGTGGTAATTTTTTTCATTCTAACCACAAGAAATTGTTCCTTTATTCAGCCCCAATTTTCTAAAGATTCATTTATACTGCAATGTGAAAAGCTAAGCTAAGCTTGATACATATAAAATGGAGGTTTATCAGAGAACCAAACATGAAGGCATGGTATGATTATCAGAGGTGATTTGCAAGAAGATATGTTTACATTATTATTTTTTTTTTTTGCTGTGGGTAAAGTTTCAAAAAGAAGTTTAACTTTAAACATTTTACACAATAGATTTCTGCATGGAGAAGCAGTGCTGTTCAATTTTCACATACTGCAGACACTGATCACAAAATAGGGATATAATTACATTCATTTTGCTGTCACCATAGCCTCTTCAAAAATTCTTGAACAACTCTTGAAATGACAAGCTTTTAGATACATATTAGCATTTTTCAATTTTAAATTCTCTATAATATAAGATAAAATAGTTGTCATACTGCAGTAACTACTTATGACATATATAATGTCCTAAATTCAAAAATGAGATAGAGGGGTTTTCAGTTCTCAATAAACATTTATGCGTGCCTTAAGCTGCTGCTATACCCCATTTACAAAACAGTTCTGTTATTTTTCAGATAAGGAGTGGAAAACATTATATAATCAATGGGGTTTGAATCAATCCATCTGAAATAATTTCTTTATTTTTTAATGCAAGCTACAAGATAACCTACCACATTTTTGTTTGCAGTGCTGTCTGACCATAGCAGTTAATAATTTACTATGGTGTGGGCACAGTAAACCCTATCCCCAGATCAAATTCAGCCCGTACTGCTTTCATTAAAACCTCATGGCTTTATCTGGCTCTTAGAAAAGATTAAAACAAAACAGGATCAAGTTAGTTTATATACTAAAAGTTGACTTCCCTGGGTCTATATTCATTTATTTCTTCAAATGAATATTTATGTCAGTGTTTGGGCTTGGCAAAGAAGGTATTTTTCTTTCTTCTCATTTTAGGGAAAAAAATACAAGACTCCTGTTTGTCAAAAGCAAGATGAGGTGCAGTTAGAACCTGCATTTGTGAACTTCAATCTTGGAACAGTATCATTGAGGATTTAAAGCAG